CTGATAAACTTCGTTCCAAGTTATATATTAGGTATAAGAAAAAAACTGGACTCGATCCTTGGATAAACTCTGAATCCCCACAAATCGAAAAGACTAATAATCACCTTTCACGGAATTGTGTTATCAAAATTTCTAAGTTTCCGGAAGAGAAAGATGTAATTATTGAAACAGTACAGAAACGATTCCCTTTCTTGACATATACTAATTCGAATACATGGCATCGGGATGTATTTAAATATACCAATTCAGAAGCTAAATGTCCGATATGTAAAGAGGTACATACACGCTTAGGTATATGGGGTGATTGGAGCTGTCTCGGTAAAGATGATCACTATTTTCTTAATTGCCCTTTTCGTATCGATCAAAAGAAAGTTATAATCGCTAAACAGAGTTTGCCGGAAATTCAAGTAAGTATACCAAACAAAATCCAAGAGGTAGAGCCTAAGAAGTTTTTGTCCATTACAGAGGCTGAGAAAAAAAGGTGGATTTTCCTGCTGACTTGGAAAGAGATATACGCTTTTATCGTGGTGGAATAGAAAGGAAAGAAGACACTAGGAAATATCATAAGTTTTTAACAGATCGTGATAGGCTGGTCGGTGAAGAGTTATTACGTCACGGTATATTAAAGAGCGGTTTAAGTACTGCATGGCTTGATGATCTTATAGAAGAATGGGAAAAAACTTATAATCAATTCGTACAAATTTTTAACTAGACACAATGCATAAATCATTTCCCGCGATCACTTGGAAGTTGCACCAACGATCGACAAAAAAAAGTCAGATGATTCATTTCCAGATATACATATAATTCAGAATAATCGAACACCCCCACTACACTATCTTTACGTATATTCTTGACTATAACAAAGCTATTTTTTGGATCGTATGTGTGCTCATATTTATGAGGATTAAGCAGTTTCATATACTGGGATGAATTGTCAGTAAACTTTCCAGATGTTTTACACTTATTATTTCGAGACTTAGTCATACTAACATATATACATCCATTTTTTTCGATTCAAATTTGGTATATACATTCGAGTATTTTTTTGCTACTCCTCTATAACCAGTTTACTTAGCTCGGATCTCATTACTCGATATGCGATATTCTCAATCTCAGTTGTTTTTTTCTTCCTCTTTACTTCGATGGGATCTGGTTTGGGTTTCTCAGGTGTAATTATTTCTTGAGGTGTTAGTTTGGGTGCTATTTCTGCCTTCTCAAATTTACTATTATTGGTGTATCAGTCAGGTAAGTTCGCATTTTTGATTGAATTAGCATATGAGTATGGGTTCTCAGACTTCCATATTTTATTGCACTTTGGGCTACCGATTTTATACCACTCTGAAACTTTTTTAGATCCACCCTTTAACTGTTTGGCATACATGATACATTTGATATCTTGCTTAGCTAATTGTGCAAGAGGTGGTCTTGATTTGGTAAGCTTCTCCAGCTGTTACGAATCGGGATTTTTGTTAGATTTTTTGGATGCCATCTTAGAATGAAATTATTACTTCGCAGTTATAAAGTAATTATATTTTGTTTGAAAAATTTTTACTTATCATTGTTTAACCAAAAAATATATATATGGCTGGTGGGTAGGTTAACTCGCTTCCTCAATTTTGTTCTATCAATGCAGGTAAATCACCCCATTCATCTAATTCTGTTAAATTCCAATCTTCTATTGTATCCCAAGGGATTGCGTTATTTTTTATTTGGTATATATGGCAGACGGGTAGGCCGACTTGCTTTCCTACATTAGGTAAATAAAACTTATTAAACGAAAAAATATTATGTATTATATATCTTTGCCGAAAAAAAGTTAACAATAAATATTTATCTACTCTAAAGCCCTTGTCATGAATGATAAGTAGCTCGAGCAAGACTATTTAATAAAATAATTCGTTCTGAATCAGTAAATTCTGATGATACTCTAATTGCAGAAATAAGATCTGCTCTACTATCTATTGATGAACCTGCAAAGATTGGAATATGTGAACGAGAGTGAGAACACTGGTCAAAATCTGGCATATCGGACACCTATCAGGCACTTATCATGGTACCTGATAGGTACCCGATATACATTTTTTGACATATATCGGGTA